CACACCATACACCTCCACACCATACACCTCCACACCATCACACCACACCATCACACCATCACACCACACCATCACACCATCACACCATCACACCACACCATCACACCATCACACCATCACACCACACCATCACACCACACCATCACACCATCACACCACCACAGCACAATCATTACCATCCCTGATTGTGTATGCATGTGTGTGTGTCATGTCTGAGTACATGAGTGTGCGAGCACATCCTTGTGTGTAGGTCCAGGCATACACATGCTCCGGGGTGGACGGGAGCTCAGACATCTCCCTGTGTCAGCCGGCACCTTTCACCGTGTGTGACGCGCCCTCTCCACTGCTGCAGGCGCCAGGCTCGATGGTCCGGAGGCTTCCCTCGATTCCCCATCTCGGCCTCCCGTGCCCCCATCATGGCCACTGGGGGCACGGACGTGTGCAGCTTTTGCAAACTCCGGTTGTCATGTGCACAGCACTTTTCCTCATGGAGCTGGCGCTCCAGCCCAAGGGCAACTCTGTGTTGCACATTTTTACTCAAGTTCATGCTCTAAATAGCTTAACTCTCTGAGATAGGTATTAAAGGCATCGCCTTAAAGCCTTGTTTTCAATCTTTGATGCTACTGTGTATTTTTAAAATGACCTTTGAGTCCTGGTTTTAAAAACTACTAGGTTAAATTGTTTTCTTGGTCTTACTATTTGTTTCACACATTTGGGTTTTCTTCTTCCACAGTCAAGTCAATCCACAAACCAGAAACAGCGTTCCGAACCTCCTCTTTGATCTCAGACCTCTCGTTGCTTTTTCCTGGTCTCTGACGCTGGACAGACCCTCAAACCAGTGTTAATACTGAAAATGGTGAGAGAGGACACACTTGCCTTATTCTACATTCCCACTTTACTTATGAAGACAGCATTTACCAACGCACTCTATTAAACTGTGCAAGTTCCTGAATGTCTCTAACTTGCTAAAGCTCTGCCACACTCTGCCTTCACTTTCACATTAGTTAGGTACTGTCCCCGGCCTTCATGCACCAGTCGACATGTAACTAAAGTTTTCCACTTGTTAATACATGTATTGTTAACATATAAATTACATGGACCTTAAATTCAAAAGGTAGGATTCATTTCTCAAATAAAAAAAGGCTTGGTGTGTGCATGTTCGTGTGTGTGTGTGTGTGTGCGCGTGCGTGCGTGTAGAGGAGGGGGGTGTGTATGTTTGTGTGGGGGGGGAAGAAAACATGTGGAAATGGAACCTCAGACCTCATGCTGCTCTGCCTACCACCAAGCTATCTCTTTTGTTAAAGATTTTCTGTTTATGCTTATGAAGGATATTGCAATTTTCTTTTCTTTCTTTTTTTTTTTTGTAATGTCTTCACTGGGGCTTCATATCAGAACTACACTAATTCCATTAAGTAGAGTAAGAACTGTCCTCTATTTTATGAAAATATTGATATCAAATTGATGCTATCTCTTTCCTTAAAAGTTTTATAAAATTTATCAGTGAACCAGCCATTGAGAGCTCTTTATGGGAAATTATTTCTTCTTCTTATCATCATCATCATCATCACCATCGCTGGTTTTTCTGTGTGGCCTTTGCTCTCCTGGAACTCACTTTATAGCCTAAGCTGACCCTGAGCTCAGAGATCTGCCTGCCTCTGCCTCCTGAGTGCCGGGATTACAGGCGTGCGCCATCATTCCCTGAAGGGGAATTCTATTTTAAAGATTTCTTTTTTTATTCATTCATTCGTTCACTGTGTCTATGCACACATGTTCACGCTGCACATATGTGTGTGTGTGTGTGAGTCTATGGAGGACCTGGAGTTACAGGTGGCAGTAAGCCACTTGCTGTGGGTGCTGGGAACCAAACTCGGGTTCCGGAGAAAAGCAGCTGTTAACCACTGGGCCATCCCTTCAGCCCTCAACATTCTCAACAGTCCAAGCTTTTGATAAGTAACCGATCTCCTTGTTATACATGGTGACACTCAAAGTGTGTGCTGCCACACGCCTGTACTCAGAGCAATGCAGAGGCTGAGACAGTGGAATTAGAGTTCAAAACTAGCAGACCACAGTGGCACACATCCCTGATCCTGGCACTCGGGGAGGCAGAGGCAGTTAGATCTCTAGGAGTTCCAGGCCAGCCTGGTCTATACAGTGAGTCCAGGACAGCCAGGACTACACAGAGAAACCCTGTCTCGAAAACCAACAGCAACAGAGTTCAAAACAAGCCTTGGCTGCACAGGAAGGAGCTGTCTGAAATAGGGCTAAATCATATTACACATTGCATGCGTTATGTGCACCTAGGGGCAACTCATGGATACACAAAGCCACTCTTTCGTTTCTACCAGTTTGGGTATATTTCACTTTCACATTAGTCAGCTGAGTCTAAGCCCCTGGCACGAGACTGTACCATTTCCATAGCATCCTTTAATACGCTGTTAAACTAGTGCTAGAAGTCCCCTAAAGGATGTGTGGGTTCTATGAAAATGCCATGGCACCTGATGTAAGGACTGGACTATCATGGATTTGGTATCCATAGAGGACTATGGGACCAATCCCTCATGGTCACCCAGAGGCAACTATGTCTCTTGCAACAAAGGACCTGGTTTGTATGGACACACTGCACAGCATATTAGCTGCCATTCTGTTAGCACCCTTCAACCTAGAACAGCCTCTCCTTCTTCTCTAACTTCTCAGCTTTAAGTCCTCAGAGAGCTGCTTGCATTGCCTGCGTTCTCAGCTTTTCCGTGGGAGGGCTGGCTGGCGGCAGCTATTAGAGCAGCTCCAGGAATGAAGGGAGGACACCCAATGTCTTCTGACCACAGTCCCAGTAGACATTCCACCTGCCCATTGACTGCCATGCTACTTCCAGCACCTATAAAACAGGAACAGCTCAGTTGTGTGGCCTTCTACCACTTCACAAAGCCTTTCCAAGAACCTATTTGATTTTGCTTAAGATGTCACCTGGTAGGATAGAATTAAAAGTGCATGTAGGACAAAAAGGCTTACAGAGAAAAAAAAAAAGCTCTCTGTCTAACATTAAAAGAGTCATCCAAATGAGCAGCCCCTCTGTTCAAGGCTTGGCACGTCAGCGGCAGGGAAAGGAGAGGAAATGCTGGCTGAACATCAGAATCTGGAAGTTTCCAGTCCTGGTTTTACTTCTCCAAAAATGGCTTCGATAAGTCACTTACTCGTGCAGGAAGGTTCTCCTTGACTCCTTGACGCCTACGCCTGGATTTAACCTCTCTGTGCCTCAGCTTCTTCATCGGAAAGGCACACGCAACTCTGCCCATCTGTCCATATGCATCACAGTCAGAAAAAAAAAAAATGTAATAACGTATGTTTGAGTGTGACGGAAGCAGACAGAACACCTGACATCTTATAAGACATATGATACTCTGGGGATCTTGGTGGATATGTGGGAGAAAGAAACAAAACAAGAATGAAAAAATCTACACTCTCTTTAGCTTCTGTCTGTATTTGTCCAATATGGCAGCGTCCAACCTCATGTGGCTCCTATCATTGAAACCAATTAAAATTAGATATCCCTTTCCTGGGTCACTCTTACCACACCCCACACTCTCACAGTATCCCAGCTACCGCGCTGGCCCTGAGCAGATGCCACACACAGCTGGACTGGGCAGCGCTGGGGTTTACACTTTGCTCCTGCGGCTGCCTGACAGTGTTGCTGCTGCAAAACCCTGTGAAACCAAACCACACCAAAATAGCTCAGAACCGAAAAGAAACCAGTCTCCAGGAGGTCAGGGGCTCCAACCAAAGCAGAACAGCGCCAGCGTGGAATTGAGGGAGAACCGACTGCTTCTGAGTATCGTATATTGCTACAGACTGCAGCCAGGGGAAAGTAGACATGCCACAGAGAACACTGACGTCAGAATTCCAAGGGGGATCTGCATTTAATAACACTGGCTGGCGGCAGCGTATGCCTTTCCACGGCAACTGTGTCACTTACTAGCCACCACTTCTAGCCTCACTCTCCCCATCTGCAAAGTAAGGAACAATTGTCCCAGCTCTGCCATTACCGTCATGAGGACTGAAGAGATGGTGGCATCTAGAAAGTCCTGCGACTTTCTAGAAACCGACAGGCCACAGTGAACACTACCTGCTCCTGTTAATAGCGAATACACTGCTCTGTGCATCACACCACAAACCCTGATCGGGGAGACCGTGGCTGCCACAAGCACCGTCACAGAGCTGGTAAGAGCAGAAAGGAACAGCTTGGTAAAGTGTGCCAGGGGAGCAGAGTGAGGAGCTGTGTAATGGTAGGGGTGGAAGAGCTCCCACAATCCCATAACAGAAGCAGAAACTCTGCCTTGAAGTAGGCAAAGGAAAATGGGAAATGTGTGCTTGTGTGTGTGTGTGTGTGTGTGTGTGTGTGTGCGCGCGCGCGCGCGCCACGCGTGCCTGTGTGCTCTTATACATCAGCAAGTGTCCAAGGAACCGAAAAAATTTCTACGACCCTCAGGTTGGGCCTACCCAAGGAGCCTGCATACTGTTTCTGCTCCTTTCAAAGCCAACAGGTCACAGTTCTGCCAGGACCTCAAACAGCTACCCCATGACAGACTCATGCACACCTGCTTCAGGAGATGGTGCTGAAAACTCCAAGGCTTCTCCTAATGCCTGCTGTGGGACTGAGACCCTGACCTCCTGCCTCAAGGGTATGACATTCATAAGACATGGTGTCCCAGAGTGCCACCCGGGGTATGAGACACACCAACAGAAGAGGCACACTCTGAGTGAGCAGAGGTTTCCATCCATCTGACGTGACCTCACACACACGCCTGCTGTCTAAAACACTGTGGTTAGACTGTGAAATGGCCTCCAAAGGTTCAGGTGCTGCAGCACACAGTCCCCAGCTGAGCTGGTGATGCTGAGTGACAGGCTCTGGAACTTTTAGAAGGTGGAGCTTTGCTACAGGAATTAGCTCAGTGAGGGTGGGCCTAGAGGCTTCACAGACTGGCCCTGTTTTCTTTTTTCCCTTCTCCTACTGGATCCACGATACAATATGACAGGTCAGCCTGAGGCTCTGGCTGCCAAGCCCCGACCATGAGACACTATATCCCTTCTGGAACTGTGAACCCAAATAAGCCCTTTCTCTCTTGAGCTATTCTCTCAGGGGGTTTGCTCCCAGCAACCAAGACAACTGAGACACCTTCTGAGCCCCCAAGTGCCTCTGCAGTCCCAGCTTTACTATAGCATCTCTAGAAAAAGAAAGCCCAAGGCAGCTCTCTGCAGACCCACAGTGTGTGTCAAGGAGGGAAGCAGGCGCTGTGCTGGGAACTGCCGCATCTGGGGCCATCCAACAGCTGCCTCTCTGCTCCCGCCAGAAAGCCACACCAAGTTCAACCCATGTCCTCTCACCTGACGGGGACTTGCTCCTTTAGAAAACATCAGGGTTCTGTGTTCTCACTATCCCACACCAAGTCCAAGCTCCTTATGTAATGAACACCCCGTGGGCATCCAAGTATGAATGACTAAGGAGGAACACAGGAACCTTGGGAGTGATCCACACACAACTCCAGCTCCATGATAGCTAACTGCATTTCCCAAAGAGCCACAAGAAATTGAAGTGCCCTGCAAACCCGAGGCAATCGACTAACAAAGTGTGTGCCTGAATGTTTGCTTACTGCTTCGTGGCTTACAGAACCGTCACATTCACGCATCAGCTGGCACCAGCCTGGGGAGGTAAGCCAGGTAAATGTCAGATTTATTGTCAGACACAGTTTGCCCAAGAATCAAGCCAGACTATAAACAGTTTTTCTGGGTTTGGTTTTTATTTGTTTGTTTGTTTTTGTTTTTGTTTATGCTTTGAGACAGGGTTCAAGTATCCCAAGCTAGCCTCAAACTCACTACGTAGCCAAGGATGACCCTGAACCCACAATCCTTCCATATCTACCTATCAAGTGCTGGAGGACAGGCATACAGCACCATAGCTGGTTTATGAGGTGCTAGGAATCAAAACTAGGGCTTGTGCATGCACACCAAACCTTATAGTGTATTATGCTGTGTGTTCCACAGTGGTAGTCAGCAGAGGCCTCAAGGAAACATAGTCATGAAGATGATGCTCAGAACGAGCACCTTGCTTCCCTGGGTAAGGAATTTTCCTACCCAGCCTCATTGTGCTGGCTATGGCAACACACATATTGCTCAGCAGCCATGAGCAACCTTTCCAGGCTGGCTGTGTTTCATAACGTGGTCTGCAGACGACGTCCCTGCATGGCCTCCCTGCACCTGTGGCTGACCCTCCCCCAGCTCTGTCTTCTGTTTTGCCTGCCCCCTCCCACCCCAGACATCTGGTCCCTCTAACAGCCAGAGGCTTTGTGATCAACTGCTATAGCAGCTACTCTTTTTGCAAAGGTTTCTCTGATTGCTTCCATTCCTGCTACCACAGTTGGTCTCCTTACCCTACTACCAGCCCCCACTTAGACAGCAGATACCCAGTAGAAGGCTTCTTCCAAACAGCAATCTGCAGCTGCAGGAGATGGCCATCAGGGCTGAGAGCATTCCTACGAAGAACCACTGCAGCACCGAGTGGAATTATGCAATCGGACAAATTTAACCTTCCCCTTCCAGTCTCTGCACAGAGGCCCATTCAGCTGGCCTAGGGCCTTACGGTTCTGAAGGCTGCACATGAAGAAAAGGGCCTGGCCCGGCATGGTGATGCATGTGCCTTTAATCCCAGCACTCCAGTCAGAGAGGCAGGTAGATCTCTATGACTTCATGGCTAGCCTGCTCTACACAGTGAGCTCAGGACAGCCAGGAATAGGGAGAGAGACCCTGTCTCAAAAAGGAAGAAAGGAAGGAAGAGAGGCAGGGTCTGATTTTGCTTCCTTTGAAGTGATGAAATCAGGCATTTTGTTTCACCTTTGAGAGTATACTCAGTACTTACCTGACACTCAGGACATTGCAAAGCAGAGGCAAGAACAAGAATGAATAATGTTTGGGGGAGAAAATTTTATGTATATGTAGGGCTGACCCCTAAGGTGGCCATCCAATAAAAAGCAGCCAGGACTTCCTCTCTTCCGTATTCAACAATATTCTTCCTCACAGGCAGGCTTCCCCTAAGTGTTCCTTAGAGAAAGTCAGAATTTTTGTGTTTAGAGTTTGGTCCTTTTTTTTTTTTTTTTTTTTTTTTTTTTGGTAGTGGTCTTTTTTAGATGGAGAGCTTTTTGGTTTTGGTTTTTTTATATTTAGACGTGTGTTAGGGTTTTCGTTGTTGTTATGCTAAGGCCTTGCATGTGTCAGGTCAGGCAACTCTACCACCAAGCTACATCTCCAATCCTGTTTTCTCTTTTCTAAGGATATTAAACAAACCAACCAAGAACATGACCAATTTTTTATTTTTAGGTGAGAACAAACAAGAGACAATGGGTTAGCGACGAGACAGCTATCACTGTGGTGAGGAGGAGACAGTGGGGCCGCGCCAGAACACAGCAAGCAAGGCAACTCTCGAGCAGCCCACTCAGCCATCCTCATACTACAAGCAGCCTCCTTCAAGCCCTCCTTGCTTTGTTTTCATTCTAAACTTCCATGACATTTACTCTCACCCCAAGACAGCTCACTTTCCAAGGTTAAATGCAGCAAAAGATTATCTGGTCAGCTCCAGGGTGACCCTGGGCAAGGCCTGGGCAAGACCTGGGCCGGTCACACTTCTGCAGAGTACTGGAGACAAATGAGGTCATGGAGGCATTAAATCAGTGCTGATAAGTTTCCTGTGCTGCTGAGAAAGCAAGCCAGAGACACCCTGGGCACGGACACTGACGGCTCCCACAACAGGAATTCACATGGCCTGGCCCTGGGTGGACACTGACCTCAGATTACTGCACATGCAGGCTCCACCTGCTTTCACTGGATCTTGTTCTAAGAGGCACTCACATGAGAGAGAGGATTGTAGATATATATCCTACATCATACATAGGATATATACCTACAATCCCAAGTGGTTAAGACAAAAGGGTAGTTCTAACCCACACTTACAACAAGACCTGTACCTGAAACACAGTGGCTTGGACCCAATGATGGGACTCTTACACAGTGCTTTACAGTGAGCATATATATGCCTTGATACAGTTTATTTGCATCTTTCCAAAATCCTGTGGGCAAAGCAAATGCTATGGTTACTTTGCAGATGGGGAAACTGAGAAAGGCTTGAACAGACACAAAGCTAGGAAACTGATAGTTATAGAGAAGGAAGTCCAACCTAGGTCTTGTTGCACAATCAGGATTCTGTGCATCAGACCTCACCGCCAACTCCAGCCAGCACAATACTTTTTCA